CAGTGAAATCTGCATTTTAATTTGTGGCTTTAGCTTTCAGGAGATCAATAGGGCCATGTCTTTATCAGCGCCGGTGACACCAACAGCAGAAATAACGGAGCTTCAAATGGTACTTTCCCTAATGAATGTTGTTCCCTCACTGTGCAAGAATCTCAAACAGAAGCATGGGAATAAGGACAGAGCAATACCTCGATGGTTCAGATTGCAAGTGCAAAGAACATACTCCGGCAAATAAAGCCTACCCCGGCACTGCAAGGGTTAAGTGCTCTTTTTGTATAGGCCACTCAGATAAAACTGTTTTACTTGGTCAGTGCTCACCTCTCTCACCCTCCGCTGGAATGTCATTCGAGGTCCTCACATCTAATGCTGGTCAATGGACTTGCATTAGACATGATGACGTCAGCGGTCCTCAGACCGCCAGGGCCCGGGGCGAGGAGGAAGCGGGGCCGGTATAGCAGCCAGGATCAGGTAAGTCTTCTTTGTTTAAAACCCCCAAAATTATCACTTAATCATTGCAGTGTGGAGAGAGTTTATTCTGAAAGGGTACTTTTTTTTGTTTATCTGGAGCTCCTTTTTAAAAGAGAACTATGGCCAAACCTTTTTTTGGTCTTAGTTCTCTTTTGGATCACAGGAGAACATTTACTAATGTCCTCCTGTGGCCCAAAAATCAGCATATAGCGCGCTATTGCCCTCTGTATGCTGACAGCGCAGAGCCACGCTACAGACAGAGAGGAACCCGACAATATTGTCGGGATCCACCACGCTACCTGATTGACAGCTGGAGGCAGTGCCAGCTTTTCCCGCCCCCTTCTCTTGTCTGTTGCTCCAGTCAGCGCCAGAGGAACAGAGATGGAAGAGGGGAAATCCATGCGGGGAGCGGTGACTGAAGCTTTACTTCCGGTTCTGGAAGAACTTCATCAGGAAGTGAGAAGAAACTTCTCTAAAGTGCAGGGAATCCCCTCTAACACATCACCCTGAACAGAATGGCCCCATTGGAAGATTTCGCCTCTAATTTTGTGCTCACAACTGTAACATTTTGGTTTTCCTATCACATTCAGTCTCGGTGGCAATATCATCCAGATAAATAAAGAGGGGAATCTTCCCAGAAGGGACAAGGCAATAAATACCTTACAGATGGATTCAACACTACAACACTGGCATTCATTACATACCTTATTTTAGGCCCAGTGACATCATCACTAGGTCCCCGCGCTTCTCTGTGAGATGCAATTCTGCACCATCTGATTCCCTTTCAAGCAGTAAGCTGACAATTTATCTTGACATCTGCTTCACCAAGTCCATTCTAACATTTGCAAATATCATTGAGCCCTGATGAAGGGGAAGTGTGTTTGCCCCCAAAACGTGTTGACCATTCTATAATCATTTTCTGAACAATTTAAGATTTTTTGGACTCTTCCACCATTGGTCTGGCGTTTGTGATGTTTGTCCAGGTTTTAGCTCACTTTCTAGGTAGCCATTGACCCATGTGAGCATCCTTACCACAAGCAAGTTTGCTCAGCATAATGGTTATGGTCTCTCAATGTTCTAGAATGAATAGGTTTCAAAGTATTTGCACCTGTTTGAAATAACGTTTTGGGGTTCTGTTGTTGTCTGTGGCATATTGGAGAGATTTTCCCCCATTTCCAGTCCGTAGGATATCAAATATTGGAAACATGGTTTCCAGACAGGAAGACATACTAAGCAAATAAAACTCCCTCCTTCCTCATAATGAGCAAACAGCTAATATACAGTCAAGGATATGAGGGGAAATCTTTTTACAGTGGTCAGTCAGACAATACAGGGAAATCTAATGGGGGCGCCTGAGAAATGTGGCATTCCCCCTTTAGAAAAATATCATATTTCCTGTTTTCTCTCTAGGACAGGAAGTGAGGGTAAATCTTCCCAACTGGGGACAGGAATAGCAATAAAAACTCACCATGGGTTATAACCCTATTCTATCTAAAACTAGTACAGATGTTTTGGCTGGTGATTCACATTAATACAGAGTGCAAATGATATTTGTAATCTGCTTTCCTTGTGTCCTAAGGGTCATATTTATGAAGTGGTCAATGATCGATGCAATGATTAGAGTTCATCTGGAAATCCAGAGCTCAGCAACATTAGCTATATTAAAAAAAGATCGCCCCCCGCCCCCCCCCCCCCCCCCCCCCCAAGGGTTAACTGCTCGTTTTTGCCCAAGGTAAAAAAAAAAGCCAGCAGCACCCCCTCCAGCCTGCATTCTCCTATGTTGCAGCATCAGTATGTCCCTCTGCATCCTCATGTCCTATACACTGTGCTGGACTTGATGATTTGAGGATTCAGAGACCAGTCTAAGGCCCTGTTCACACCAGGGTGTTTCGGTTGCGTGGATTTTCCACGCTGAACTGCCTACATGAACAATCCCATACATTCCTATGGGAACCGTTCATGCAAGCGTGCGTATCCACATGGTCCAAAACGTCTGCCGCCCAAAACGCTCCCTGAGCTACTTTTGTTGCGCTGATTAACGTGGTCTCCATATAGATTTATATAGAAACGCACAGATTTTTGGGCGTTCTTAATTGCGTTTCAGTGCCCCAACGCCCAGAAATCGCGCGGGAACCATGCTGAACCGCTGCCGCCCTGGTGTGAATGGGGACTTAGAGCTGGCTGGCTCAGAGGATCAGGGAGTATATATTTTTTTTTTTTACCCCAGGCCATAAACGAGCAGTTAGTCCTTGCAGTGCCGGGGCACCCCCACTGGAAGGGTTATTAAAATTTCTGCCCAGAGATCTTTAAATGAAAGCCAATTACCAATTTTAAACATTTCTCTGGTTGTATTTGATTTCATTAGAGATTAACTATTGATTACTATGCAAAGCTGCTACATATAATTCACCATACTCGGTGACACATTTCATACTCTCCATAATGAGCATTGTAACCTAAAATCCTTATTTGTAATGTAATTTGCCACCTGCATAGCACACTGTTACAATGCCTGTGAGGGCAAATGCATTGCAATACAGGCACAGTTGTTTTTTTTTTTTTACTTTATATATACACCTTCCAGCGAAATCTAAGCCAATAGCACTTATTATGGATCAGGAGCACACTAAAACACATTCGCAATACTTAGCGTCTGCTGACATCTAGTGGTGGGATGAGACTACAGCATCTTTCAGAGCTGCACTGGATTTGGCCACCATTAAAGGAGAACTATGGGTGTTAAGGCTTTTCCCCATAGTTCCCCTTAGGGTAAACGGGAGGGCACAAACTCGCTCGCGGGCAGCTCGCGGTATACTGAGACGCAGCAGCTGAAGCGGATCCTGACAATTATGTCCGGATCTGCCCAGCTGCGTGAGTGACAGCTGGTTCTGCCTATTTAGAGGCAGAGCCAGATGTACCCGCCCCCTCCCCTGTCCGTTCCGACAGTCAGCGCTTGGAGGATCGGAGCGAGGAGGGGGAATCCAGTCCCACCCCTGTCACGGCAGAGAGCCGTGACAGGATCGAGAGGTGAGCGAACGCTGGTATGTGTTCGCTCACCTCCCGATCTACTGAGCCGACCTGTGACAGTCTCATTGTCACAGGTCGGCTAGAACTATGAGGATGAGTGAAAAGCACTCACCTCATAGTTCTCCTTTAAACTTATTATGCGAGAGTACAGAGCAGGGGTGGGCAATCTCCAGCCCTCCACGTGTGGTGAAACTAAAAAATCCCATCATGAATCTGCTTCTGGGAGCCACGCCTGTTAGAGTCTTGCAATGGCTCATGGGACTTGTAGTTGCACCAAAGCTGGAAGGCCAGGATTAGCTTACCCCTGCTATAAAGCAAAACGCAAATGCCAACATGGAAAACTTATAGGGTGAGAAGTGATCCCTAGTAATAATCTCATGAGTGCTTCTGAACCCAGAAGGGGGCTGTCAGAGCCGGCCAAATCAGCTGGGGCATACTTCGCCCTTCAGCTGCACCTAAACAAAGGGGTGGGATACTAGTGATCCTGTCAACCAACAAATAACTTCGTGTAAAAGCCTACTTGCAGTGTTTTTCTTAAAAAGTCAATTCCCTAGCACAGCCTCCTGACTTCTTGCACGTCATAGCCCTCGCCTCTTCTGGGAGAGTCCAATTGCCCTGTGCTGGCCCAGCTCCTCCATCTCCCCCTTCCCTACATAACGTTTTATGTAGCTGCAGAGAAGGAGGGAAGGGGAAATATATAGATCTGAGTCTGCTGGGGCTGCTGACATCACATCCATGGTGGTGGTGCCCAGCAGCAGTCTCCGGGCTTGTGTATGTCTACACAAGAGAGGCTTTACAAGTAAATAATAGGGACGCACCGATACCGATACCTAGTATATGGGCGAGTACTAGTACTCGCCCATATACTAGGATACTTTCCCTGATATCGTAACCCCCGGTCAGAGGAAGAATTCCTTTGACCGGCAGTGCCGTAGGGGAACACGGAGCCAGCTTCCGGTGCGATCAGGCAGCGAGTAATGACCTGCCTCCCTGATTGGTCTAACAGCCAGCTCCTTGCTGATTGGCCGGGAAGCTGGCTTCCCGGCCAATCAGCATGGAGCCGGCTTCCCCGGCCAATTTAGGTAGCCAGGAGGCGGGTCATTACTCACTGATTGGCCGAGAAGCTGGCTCGATGCTGACTGGCTGGAAAGCCAGTTTCCTGATCAATCACAATCAAGCCGGCCAAACAACATGGAGCCAGTTACCCGGGCAAACAGGAAGCAGGGCGGTATGTCATGACCCACCACCCGGCTTGCTGATTGCCCGAGAAGGCTGCTCCATGCCAGCAGATGCACCAGTATCGGCAAGTACCAAAAGCACAATATCGGTACTCAATACCGAAAAAACGGTATCGGTGCATCCCGAGTAAATAACATGCAAGATAAATGCACATATAATCTTACGGGATTTTTCATTTAATAAATGGTCTGTCACAGGGTCTCTTCCAGAAAAAGTACAGTCCTTTCACCACAGTCTCAAAATCCTCTGGTCACAGCATTGTAGAAGTGAAGCAATGACCGCATTACAAGAAACCATCATGCAGGTTTTATTGAGCAATTGTCTGGAAGGAAGGGGAAATGGCTCTGAAGTCTATAATAGGACATCAGCTAAAGTCTGCCATATGCGAAGCGAATTTCTGCCGATTCAGCAGGAAATTCAAGCCACGGGGACACACCAGGCTCTACAAAAGCTGATTTCAAAATCGAAGGAGTGGGTGGAAAATTGTTGTCTGAACAATGACTGCATTCTATTAGATGCAAACACTGTGCAGGGATTTAGACAGCCACGGGTGCTGAATAGTAAGCGCTGCAGATTCCTCCATCTGTGCTGTTTTAGCGTGGATAGAGTGAATGTAGAGCAGGATGAGCCGCCGCTCTTTTAGTACAAGTGACCTCAGATCACTTGTATAAAATGAGCACCCATCTTGTTCACCAACTAATTTGGGAGAATGGAATTACCCGTTCAAATCTGACCCCCTCTCCCCACATTCCCTCCCCCAGCACTATACTTACCTTTCGGCGCAGAGTCCCTCCCCTCTGCCAGTACGTGTTTACTATCTGTGCCCCATACTGCCGTCCAGCACAGCACAGCCCATCACAGCCCTGCCCTATGGATTTTGCTTGCAAATTGTGAGCAGTCGTTGGTCAGCGTGGTAATCTGACTGCACCGACTAATGAGAAGCGCTTCTTCGCATAGTTAAATGGGGTTTTGGTTAACATTATTTTTTGTATTGGGACAAGTAGATTGTCATGAGGGACAAGTACATTGTCCTTGGGACAAGTAGTTGTTTTTTACATTTTCCCACCCTCTGTGCCCACACGCCGCCCCACATCTTATAAATGGCATGAAAAATGAATGACTTGCATGGCGCAGAATTACAGTGAGCACCTAGCGACATCTGCTCTCTCTTAAAAATGGGCCCCCAAGTGTTTTCTTTTTATATGCAGCTCATATTTTCATATGCAACTTCGGGCATTTTAAAAACTTCCCCTTGCAGTGGGGCTACCCCAGCACTGAAAGGGTTAAGTGCTGGTTTTCTCCAGGGGATAGAATACAGAAGATATACTCACCTGATCCTCGGTCCCGCTGCGGTCAGCACTCTGCTCTTCCCCTCCCCCCCGGTTATGGAATCTCCTTTGGCGTCCTCACATCTAATGCATTCAATGGACCTGCAAAACACCTAATGACATCAGAAGTTCTTAGACTGCTGGAGCCTGGTGGAGAAGAGGCTGCGGGGACTGGTCTAGCAGCTCGGCAGGAACGAGGATCAGGTGAGTATATCTGCTTTATTTGTTTCTTTGTATGTGTATCTATTCCTATTTTTCATTATTAGGAATGATTATTTAATTATTTTAGATTGTAAGCTCTCACGGGCAGAAACTCCTAACCATCTTGTTTTGTAACTGTAATGTTCCTCTATTTTGTATAGAGCTGCCCAAACTGTTGGCGCAATATAAATCCCGTATTATAATAATCATTTGTCCCACATACTGCTAAACAGCCTAACCCTATACAAATGATTACACACAGCAACTCACCCACAACGGTCAGCACTTCCTGGACAATGTCGGCTTTGATGTGTATCCGGCCTCGGCGTTCGGTGTGGTCTGTTCCGCAGAGGCTTGGCACGTTCATTACACAGCGTTTGTGTACATTCATCATACATGCTGCGGAACAAAGAGAAACAGAATATCATGCGTATTTCCATTGTGTTACAGAAGAAATAGAATCCCGGACACCTTCAAAGCCAACTCCAATAAGATCTAATTGGTAAAGAGTTAAATGCGGTTTAAAAAATGTTTTTTACAATTTTTTCAGCATTTGGGGTACAAAATCATGTAATGTTTTATTTATCCTTTTACTATTGCTATAAGAGAACCACAGACTGAGCTGTACCTACTGATCACCATTAAGGTACATTCAGAAAAGATCATAAAGAGGGTACTTTGCATGCTGTTCCAAACCGTGCTAAGAGCCCTCTAACTACCACAGATGAAACTCCTTACTGAACTACAATTTCTTTCCTATATAAAGCACTGAGTATCAGTGAATTGCTATTTACATGTCTTCATCCTTTCTTCATTCCTTGTTGCATCCCAGTGCTGCTCATCTCCTGCAGCCACTTTCTGTCTACATGCACTCCAGTGATCGTTGTGGGGCTGCAACCAACTGATCGATTAATCGATAATGAGAATAGTTGTCAACTATTCTCATTATGGATTAGTTGGTTGGATCCCCTAGCTCTCTCCTCCATGCTGGGAGGAGGGCACAGCAAGCAGTGGGCGGGTGCAATAGTCAGCCTGCTATTGGCTTTTGCAATATGAAATGGTCAATAGCAGGCTGGCTATTGCACCCGCCCATTACCTGTTGTATTTACATTGAGCTGCAGTCTGCGTAATCTTGCCACTGGCAGCTTTCATTCCCTGGCTGAAGCTATTCAAGCACCACGTGCTTACAAAACAATTATAAAAGGTGGGAAAAAAGTAACTTTTGGTTTCGGCCTGACAAATTCTGCTGCGGGAGGTGCGTTGCAGTGCCATTCATTTTAATTGCACCCCAAAGGCACCTCCTACCCACAGTGTGATCGCCCACACTGGAACGCACGGTACCGCAATGCTATGCTTTCCAGTGCAGTGCGATTGCAAATAATTGTGTACGCAGTTGTAGTCATTATTATTTATTTAACACAGCATTTGTGTATTTAATTTTAAATTAAGGATGGTATTGAATTACATTTTATTTTTATCGGAATAAATCGAAAAGTAATCAGCCAACTAATCGTTAGTTAATTAGTTGCAGCCCTAGATGGTTGAATGGGCACTTCTCAGAGTGGGTTTCCTGATGGTGATAATTGATAACAGTGGACCTGCATTGTAATCACGTGTGACATGGTGACAATGCAGGAGTACAAACTGGAGCCAGGGACCAGGTGTTATCATGATATTGCAAGGACCTTCATGGCAGGATCAGGAGGTAATATTTTAATGAACGCCCAAGATTTAAAATACAGAAAATGCCTTTGGAAAGAACATCAACATGTTAATGCATAGATAAGATTTTAGGGATGACAACCCAAGTCTTGCACCTGCAATAACAAGTCAGCAATATCAGCTACTACAGTCTTGTCTTGATAGGCTTTCTTTAAAGTGGAGTTCCACGTTTTGCAGCCAAATTGGGATAACTTGGCTGCAAAAAGTACTTTATATTTGTTGCATGTTCTCATTCACATTTTTCAGTATTCTGTGTAAATAAGGAAATCATGACAAACATGTAGAAGTTTTTTTTTTTTACAAATTTGTCTACAAAAGGGGAACTACACTTCAAAGTGTATTTTCACTTTCGCAGGCAAAATTGAGAAATCCCTACACACTACAGGTATGTCTTGTGCGCCTATTCACACAGCATATCTAAAAATCAAAGAATAAATATTTCTTACCTTTTAGATATCTCCATTTAGCAGGCCTTTGCATGCTCCTCACTCTGACAGCAAACTCTGACTGTCCTAACAGAAAGACTTAGGACAGACTGAACGTCTCTTCATTAATACACAAGGTCTTCGGGGCTTTAAAGGAGAACTATGAGGTGAGTGCTTTTCACTCACCTCATATTTCTAGCTCGCCTCTTGATCCTGTCACTGCTCTCTGCCGTGACAGGGGAGGGGCTGGATTCCCCTCTACCCGCTCCGATCTGCCAGCGCTGACTGGCGGAACGGACGGGGGAGGGGGCAGGTACAGCTGGCTCTGCCTCTAGGTAGGCAGAGCCAGCTGTCACTCACGCAGCTGGGCGGATCCCGTCAACTAAGTCGGGATCCGCTCCGGCTGCGGCGTCTCAGTATACCGCGAGCTGTAGTCCTCCCGTTACCCTAAGGAGAACTATGGGGAAAAACACTGACCCCATAGTTCTCCTTTAAAGTGACGCTAAACTCAGGAGTTAAATGTTAAAAATACATTCAAGTACCTTAACTATTAACAAAAATGTATCTTATTTGTGTATCACTCGGCTGTAGATCCTCAAATCATCTCTGAATTGGTGCTGGCATTCTTGTCTCATGTCTACAATTTAAAAGTTTTGGGGCATTCTTGTCTCATGTTTAGTTGACTAATTTGCATTGAGATTGTAGTCCATCACAGGAACAAGCTTGGAGCGGTGACAACTTTACAACACATGGGGAGCAAAAGTAGCCCCCCTGCAGAAGGAAGGACAGTGTCGGCACCAATTCAGAGATGATTTGAGGATCTACAGCTGAGTGATACACAAGAGACATATTTTAAACTTCTGTGTTTAATGCCACGTTAAAAATTGTTAGAACAGAGTCTGACTCATCTAGTTTGCAATAAAATCTGCCAGCACAGTACAGGCAGGTTTAATTATTTGAAACAGATTTCCCCCAACCCACAGACAGCGAGAACTAGGCAGGATTTTTCAGTGCTGGAGTTAGCACAATGAACATCTAAAAAAAGGTAAGCTTCCATTTTTATTATTTTTTTTTAAGCTACGCTATGTGAATGGAAACATGTAGCAAATATAAAACTAGGTGTACCCCCATTTTGGCTGTAAAAGTGGAAATACACTTTATATTGCAATGCATTACTACAATGATACAGTTAAAGCTGCAATTCTAGCACTTTCCACTAGATGTCTCTGTGAGCCAACTTTTCCTGAGCATGCTACACGCCAAGGTCAAACTAAACATAGTTTACATTCATGCTATGTGCTTCCAATACACATCTGCATATACAGATGTCTGCGAATATTTCAAAGAGGGAAGAATTGTGATTTGTGTTCAGCAAACCGAAAACCATTGGTTTCTTTGGCAGACTAGATTCGAGCTGTAAACATACAGATAGATCCCATTACTGGGCCCTGCTGCTGATCCTTAGCCTATTTAGAAAATACAATTAAAAGGTGTACTGTTAATAAGATTAAACATTAAGATCCCATTCACACCAAGGCTACAGAGTTTCAGCGTGCTTCCCGCGTGGTTTTTATGTGCGTTTTCTGGTTATATGTTATAGTGTTTTTTCAGCTCGTTTTCAGTTGTCCAATGAAAATCAGTCTCAGCTGCAAAAACAAGCGCAAAAAGCACTGATCGGCGCGTTTCCATTGACGTCTATGGAGCAAAGCGGGCTGATAAGCGCCACGTATTTTTCCAAGCGTTTGCAAGAACGGTCCCCATAGAAATACATGGGATTTTAGCTTTCATGCGTGTCAACGCTGGAAAAAAACGCAGGACGAACCTCCCTGGCGTGAACAGGGCCTTAGATATTAAATGCACAAGGGGACACAGCCTTCATTTTTCTACCAGCCAGGGCTGTGACTCCCTCCTATGGTTTTTTTTTCCCCAGTCATCTTCCAGGACAGCCTTGGGCAGAGCGAGCAGGGGCTACTCCAGACCAGATCTGCAGAGCAGCCACGTGGTCCAGCTTCCAGACATTCGTCAGGCACTACAGGCTGGACCTTATGACTCAACAAGACCAGGCATTTGGCAGGAAAGTCCTGCAAGCTGTGGTCCCACCCTAAGAGGTAAGATTAGTCCTCACTGATCCTCTCGAGGGCTGTCCTGGAAGATGACTGGGGAAAACATGAGTTGATTACCTGATAACTCTGTTTCCAGGAATCTTCCAGGGCAGCATATTCCCGCCCTTGGTAAGTATCCAGGTGGCATCCGTGGTTGGATGAAGGAGGGGATACTTTAGTACATGGGGTAGCCTTCGGTCCTAGAGGTTACTGACTTGGGATGGAAGGAGGAGTCTATTTATTTAATGTGGTTGATGTGTTTCCTGTTGCAGGCAGGCGGAGCCTATATCTCGAGGGCTGTCCTGGAAGATTCCTGGAAACAGAGTTATCAGGTAATCAACTCATGTTTTTTTTGGGGGGGAGGGGGGGGGTGTCTGTGCCCCATTGGGAGATTTTTTCCTTTACCTCTGGTCTCAAAGTGAAGATCCTCCCTTGCCACAAGACACCCTTTAATCCTTGCGGCTGGTGGTAGTAGTAACACAACACAAACACAACTTACTTTCACATTTCATCCCTTGGTGAATGAGACCATATAATAAAGAACCACAGTGGTCACAGAAGGTTGGGCTGGAATACGTGTGGATTTTAAACTTGTGTTTACTTCGTGGATCCTAGTGAGAGAAAAAAGAAAATAATCATCACAACAATAGTAACAAACAGGTGAATACAAAATGTAGGATTCAGGGACAAACTTTTAGAAGTTTGCCCCTGGAGTCCCATTGGGGAGATTTCTCTTTACCCCCTGATCTGTAGATGTAATACGGTAAGAGGAACTGTCTGCAAGGTGAGGGAAATCATGCCTTAGTGTCCACATTGGAAGATTTCCCCTCTAATCCTGTCCTGGTGACAACTCGCAATTTTGGATTTTTCATCCCTTTCAGTCCTGGTGACAATGGTAGATCTACCCAGCAGAGACACAGACAGACCGCTATAAAAAGCCTCACAGAGGAAAACGTTTGGCTTTAAATTCACTTTAAGGCTCCATTCACACCAGATGTCAACAGATGCCAATAGAAGGTAACCCAAAAAATTAATGGGACCAATTCACACCACTTCGTTCCATTGCATTACGTTGAAAAAAAGTAGGACATGCACTACTTTTTTTTCAGTGCAACGTAACGCAGCGGTGTGACTTAGCCGCATTTATACACGTTCATTTTCCAGTGCCCTTGCGTTAGCATCCATTGCAAAACAGATCGCAACGGATCGGAAGGTACAATCGCAAGTCATCTGAACCCTCTGTTGACTTACGATTACCTTCCAATTTTGGTGTGTACGGGTCCTAAAGAATAATATCTCCATTTTAATGAAAAACCAAAATATAAGATTAAAAGTACACCGCCAGGATAGGACAGGAAACTTATTTTTGAATGTGCAGGTTCTTGGACTGTTATGAGAGAAACAAGAATGAGGCCATTGCCGACTTGTAATAATGCTAATTATATGGCTGCTCTGTTGACAGTCTTCCTTCAATACTTTGAGTCACTGACCCGGAATGAGCATACAGATAAGAATAATGGTCAGCATTGTCAGATGCAGTATTCATATGCAGTTCCCTGCAGTAAATAACTGCAACTCAGAGTGTAGGAACAGTCTGCATTAGTGGCAGGTTAAGGTGTGTGGTAAGTGTAGGTAGTCGGCGTCTGATAGGTCAGCTGTTGCCAGCACAAAGTGTAAAGTGACAGCCATGTCCACAGCTTTGACCAACTGTGCCTTTGTCTGGTTTACTACAAGAACCTAAAGGGTTGTAGCTTGCTGCCCTGGACATCCACTGATCACTAGGTTCCTGCCTAGGTTGCCTTGTGGGTAATTTGTGCACTTCTTGCTTAAAGAAAGGAGAACAATATTTAAATACATGACCCAAGTTGTCTCCTTGAAACACTTTGTGGACCTCTTTCGCACTGCGTCCCTTCCCCAGAACTCAATTCTAGGTACTGTAACGTTTAGTGCAGTCCTCAAAATTTCCACTTGCCCCCTCGCAATTGGCGAGTGAAAATTTACGGGGGGCGAGTGGAATGTCAGCGATGGGGTGCGCCACCAGCGTGACCAGGGACGGGACACTACCGCCGCGGCGATCGCTCGTTTCCGCTCTCTCTTCTCTTTCTCGGCTGCTGCAGCTACAGAGCGGCCGAGAAGGAGAAGAGAGAACAGAAGCGAACGCTTGCCGCGGCGGTAGTGTTCCATTCAGAGCTGGAGCTAGCTCTCTGGAATCCCTCTTCTCTCCTCCCGGCCGCTCTGAAGCTGCAGCGGCCAGGAGAGAGGGAACGCTGACAGGTGTGATCAGAGCGGCCTCTCTGAATGCCCACTTTGTGGAGCTGAAGCTGCAGCGGTCGGGAGGAGAGAGAGGGATCACTCAGCGGTGTGATCAGAGCAGTCTTAAAGAAGCCCCCCTCCCAGTCCACATCTTTTGGACGTTATTAATCTGAGTTGACCGACTCAGTATGCCCCTCGCTCGCGGCCATATTGAGTGGGGCACTCATATTAATAAGGTGCTGGATTAGTCTGACCCAGGGGTGGACTAGGCCCGGGGGCAGGGTGGCAATTGCCCCCCCCCGGACCTCTCTGATATCTTTGCAAAAGGCCCCCGTTGCAGCAAGCACTTAATCTCTTCCCCTCTTGGCTGCTGCAGCAGCAGAGCGGCCGATAGGGGAGAGATTAAATGCTTACGGCGGCGGTGGGGGGGGGTTGCAAGCAACGGGTATACTGAGTGGGGCAACTCAGATTAATAACGTCCAAAAGATGTGGACTGGGGCCTCTTTAAGACCTCTCTGACTTTAGGACTGCGGCGGCGGGGAGAAGAGAACAAGAAGCTCCACTGCCATCGTCTGTGCCCTCTTCGATTGGGCTCCTCGGCGGCCACAGCAGTTTCCTCCGCCTACCTCAGCTGCCATTGGTGGGAGAGGAAGACTGCCGAACCGCAGTCGGCCGGCTTCTGCTGCGTGGGAGAGAGAGCACCTGGAGCCGGCTGGACGTACAGGAAAACTCGCTGCTCCCCCACCATCACTAGGAGAAGAAGAGGTCAAAGCAACTGTAAGTCCCTGTACTTTCTTTGTGACCTCTGCACTGCGTTACATACTGACCGCTGACCTCTTTACTGTGTACTGACCTCTGCACTGCGCGTCACATTGCTGACCTCTGCACTGCGCGTCACATTGCTGACCTCTGCACTGCGCGTCACACAGCTGGTCTCTGTATTCTGTATTGCACCACTGACTTCTGTACTGTGCGTTGTTACTGATCTTTATACTCTGCGTCACACTGCTGACCTTGGCGGAGTAAAGTCCGGTTCAGGGTAGGTGGGGAGTAACTTTTAAGGCCTGGCTAGTAACTTAGGACTTGACATTTTGAGCCCAGGTTTAGGGTATTTAAGGATCCTTAGCCAGCCGTATCAGCAAATAAAACTTTATTTTCTTCCAAACAGTACAACTTAAATTGCTTCTTTTCAGCAAACAAATATAAAAAGGGTGCATCTCCAACAACCTCCAAGATTTGGCTTAGCACCGGTATCATGTCCCACCTCAGGGATAGAGCCTCAGCTGGCTCATGGCCAGAGACCCAGCAGCTTCACACCTCCCTGTGTCATGACAGTCCTCCCGACCTTTCCAAACACACCTTGTGTGGCACAGACCCTCCTGGCCTCGCCCACACACTGCGTGTGCCACAGGCCCTCTCCATCTCAGTGTCTCGTGCAACACATACACACTGTCTCCCACGCTCTGTAGGACTGGAGATTTCATCCTGCCCAAGACTCTTAGAAATCTCCAAATCTCCAGAGACCCAGATCCCAGTTATACTTCCGAAAACCCGGAAAGAACTGGAAACAAGCTCCTTCCCTTTAACACTATATGTTTTCTGGACCCTCTCAGCCCGTCTGGCTGAGAGTCCTGGGCGCCAAACACACCAATAACCATAGTGACACAGCACTGTCCTGTCACAGTACTACAAAACACTTTTCATCCCTTCAAAACAAAACCCAATCTTAGCAAAAAGGCACATGTGTGAAATTGACTTTCTCTTGACTGTAATGTTATCTATTTCCCAACTATTGCTGTCAATTCTCTCTTGCTGGTTTTGTCCACAGGTGGTCAAGCATAGACCAAATTGTTTTTCTCATCATTTACGCACTGAACAGAGGCACTTTTTTTCTCCTAACAAGTTGGAATTTCATTTGCTTTGGTCATCAGGAACCAATTTTGAACTTTTACAAAAACTGTCATTCTGCTCGTCATGTGCATCTTCAGACAAAATTGACTCCCGTGTTCTTCCTTCGTGTCATGTCACACTAGCAATCTTGTTGCTAGCTAGAACTCTCTAGTAGAAGGTTTGCTAACAGACCCCTTACCTTCTCCTATGGCAGGGGTAGGAAACTCATGCATCTGCCTCTGGGAGACATGCCTGTGGCTGTCAGAGTCTTTCAATGCCTAAGGCCTTGTTCACACCAAATGCAGAGCAGATCCGCTCAGGTTTCTCCACACGCAGTGCAGTGGGTTGTGACGCGTTTTTGATGCGTTCCGGCCCGTTTTGGGGGAGAGTGGATTTTTTTAATTTTAGTTTAACATGGGCTTTCAGTGCGTTACAGGCATTTGCATGCATTTTTGACGCGTTTGCATGCGTTCCAGAGCAGGTAAAATAGGGCCTGCTGCAGTTTTTTTTACCTGCTCTGGACCTGCACGCTGTGATGTGAACTGGAGCTAAAAATACCATTGGAATACATTGGACGCAGTTTTGATCCGGTCTGCAACTGCTCTGCACCTGCTCTGCGCTTGGTGTGAACAAGGCCTAAAAGCCTTTGTAGTTACTTCACAGCTGGCGGGCCGGAATTAGCCTACCTTCCTCCCTCACTAACCCAACCAGGAAGACATTGCTTAATTGCAATTGCTCCCTTGCTAGAATCAAGATTCTGCAAAGCTTTGCCAAGTGCTCTAGAGACACCGATTAGGTAAGGAGTCAGCTGTACCTCGGATGCTCTTCTGCTGGTGTGACATGGCCCTTAATCTTCTCCTTTTAGAACACAATCTATTTTGGCTAAGAATCTGAAACCCATTTATCTCCTAGGTGAGTATGTTACAATGCAGCTGTCCCTGTACGACCTCACATTGTACAGTGCTGTAAAAGGGGATAGTGCTATATAATTTAATAAGTTGAAGAGACACAGGTAAAAAGCATGAAGTGGTCAGATCCATGTTTCTCCTTCATCCCACATCAATCTCTAACCATCTGGCATAGACAGGAGAAAATGACACCATCTGCCAAGAGCCTGGCACCAGCACAGTCACTTAATGTAGCAGATTCTCAATTACACAGGAGGGGAAGCGTCACAAAGTGCTCTGGATTGGCAATTAACCAGCTCTGTGCGCTTCCATCTATGGCAGCCAGGGCTTCATTACAGGGCTCTTTAAAGGGCTCCGATTGGAAGACATTTCAATTTCATTTCCATTTGGAGGAGAAGATGAGGTGACAGCGGTCCTTTTAATGTAGAATGAGGAAGAGATGCAGCAAATTGTTCCCCCAGAAACTGAAATAAGTGATCTGGGAAGCTGATAGAGACAAGACTCTCCTGACCGTATTCTACAGATGTCTATGACACAGAGCTAATCGAATATCTCAACTC